GGTTTCAGCACATTGATCCAAAAGAGGGCCTGCGGACCGTCTACCAGCAGCCCGGCTGGACACAAGCGCTTAATTGGGGCCCCCAAAAATCAGCCTTTTTTTGGTTTAAAGGTTTGAAGGTTTAGGGTTTAGGGTTTAATTTAGGGTTTAGGGTTTAGCTATTGGGGTATAGGGGTGCCCTAGAAGGGGGATTCTGGAAAACCGTGTTTGTTAAATCCTTATGTTTATGTGGTTTTTTGGGCCCCTACTTAAACGGTGTTAGGCTTCAGGGTGTGGCATGTAGGGCTTTATTCTTTCGCGGCTTCGGGGCTGTGGTTTTCGGGTTCAGTGTGTCCTAGGCTGGTGAACCCTAAACCCTAAACCCTAAACCCTAAACCCTAAACCCTAAACCCAGAACCCAGAACCCAGAACCCTTGCCCCGATGCTATAAACGCCCGAAGACTTCCGATAGTCTGATAGCCAGCCAAGCCCTGTTGTCTGACGTGCACCGAAAAGCCCCAAACCTCAAACCCGAAACCCTGCACCCAGCCTATCAACCGATACCCTTCATAACAAGGGACCCCGAATATAGACCCCAAATAGTAGGATTCCCTTAGAATAAGGATCCCAATAAGGTTCCGCTAACCCTAAGCCCTAAACCCTAAACCCGACACCCTAAACCTTAAAACCTAAACCCTGATATCGTAGACCACCATATTCCCTTTCCCTCACACGCTCGCTCGCGCACGGCGCACGAAGGTACCAAGACTTCACCTTTGCCGTGAGCTGCCTGCTGCGGTTCTTGAGTGATTTTTTAGGTTTAGGGTTTAGGGTTTAGGGTTTAGGGTTTAGGGTTTAGGGTTTAGGGTTTAGGGTTTAGGGTTTAGGGTTTAGGGTTTAGGGTTTAAGTCCTCTAAGTAGGTTATAAGTAGACTCATAATTGGGGCTCTATGTACCCATGAACCTCCAAGCAGGGCTCTGTGAACGTTTGGGTATTTATTCGGGAGCTTAAGCCTTTCTTTAGGGGGAATCTGACGTTTTTCTTCTCTACATCCATGTAAAAGGACTAAGCTTAAGATCGCTAAGAGCAATCTTGCCTCTTGGTTTCTTGAATGTTGAATTTCAAATTCATGATGTATACTCTGTCCAGAGTATCATTTGCGCTGATGCTTGTTCCGGTTATTGCGAGGATGGCGTTTGTGATGAATATCCTTCTGAAACTAAAACGACGGCGATGACGACGACGAGGACGAGGACGAGGACGATAACGAGGAGGATGAGGATGATGATGATGATGGTGATGATGATGATGATGATGATGAATATGATAGTGAATATGATGATGAATATGATGATGATGATGATGATGACGATGATGATGATGATAACGGTCATGGCCGCGATCATGTTCACACTTGTTTTGCATCATCATGTTCTCATTTCTGTCAATGTTGTCATGACTTAACTGTTACGATTGGTATTACCATTATCATTTCTTCTACTACTGCTGCCATGATTACTAGTTTCATACTACCGTCAGCTGTATTATTTGAATTGGAGACTCCGCTTGGTGTTGTAGAGGTTTGGGCTGTAGGCGGTAGGCGTTCAAAGATGTGAGAATTGATTGTTCATGTTTTAAGCCTTAAGCCCTAAACCCCAGCGCCGAATCCTAAGCCGTGTAGCTTGCTGGGAGTCAGAACGGTGGCGTAGAGGGCGAGCTCCTTGTCCTTTGTGCTCGCCCTAGCGTGATGCGTGAGAGCCTCATGGACCTCTACTTGACCCATCCGGACGGTACGCAAGAGCTGGGGGCACTGCTGCCAGCTGGGACAGGCGTGACCGGACCACTCTGCAGCTTCTATGTCGTCGGCAGGAGAAGGGGGGCGAAAGGGGTCGGCAACTGAGGAAAAGGCAACCCAACGTGCACTGGATCGGGCCCCACAATGTGCCTGAGCGCTTCTCCGTCCAGCAGGCCACCCTGACCTGTAGCACCTAATGAGACTGTAGTCCGAGTGCTTCTATGTCTGCCAGGTTACTCTGACCTGCGTCACCTGGTGAGCCCCCGCATCCGTCGCAGTGCGGAAACAGTACGAAAGGTTCATTGCACATGAATGCACGCAGCGATGACAAAAAAGGGAAAGTGAAAGATCTGCGTATATTTTAGCCCATGCTGTGAGTGGTGCAATGTGAGCGAGACATGCGACGCTTTCCGTTAGCCATTGGATCCAGATTCGTCTCGGGGCCCCGAGACCTCCAGATTCCAACCACTTTAGGGTCCCCCGAGACCTCCAGGTTCCAACCACTTTAGGGTCCCCCGAGACCTCCAGGTTCCAACCACTTTAGGCCCCCCGACATGTCCAGGTTACTGTCAGTGGACTGTCAGCGTCGTTCCTGCATGCATGCATTGAGGTGTCTTGATGAGCATTTCCTTGTCTTGAATACCGCAGCTATTTGCAGATTCTCAGGTTACCAACCAAAAAGGGTCAAGCAGCTATGGACGAGGAGGAGTGCAGATCTCCATCATCTGCAGGAGACTCCGACGACTGCAGGGCGCAAGAAGAAGGAAGGAGTAGATGACCCAAACCCTGAGTAAGCCCTACATACCCTACAACGTCCCAAACAACACCTCAATTCAGAGCCCGAAAACCTAGCATAGGCACCGCGCAGAATTCCCTAAGCCCCCATCACAGACCATGTCCAACGACGCGTGGCTTTGGCGCCTATAGGTTCCTGGGCCGATATAGTGGAGCTCCGATGCCCAGTTCCCTCCAGCCAGCCGAAACCAACGAGTTTTTCACTCGGCGTGAGCAGCGCAGCTGGCGTCCCAGCTGCGCAAAGCGTTTGACACACGCACAACGAGGACGAACACTGCCCCGTCTTCGTCAGGAACGCGGCAGAGCATGGCGAAGCCTTTGCACGTGCCATGCTCTCGACGGATCCTTTCACGCCCCAGAGCCACTTCGCGAGCCTGAACGTACTGACGAGATACCTTCGGCCGCGATGTTCCGGAAGACTTCCTCTGCTGCCCCTTCCCAAGCTGTGTAATACGGAGTTGAACACCTGCGGCCCGAACTGTGCTTTCAAGCGCAACTGAAGTGCTCTGATGGAACTTTTAGCAGCATCTTGCACGTAGAATGCACCCTGTAAGTTATATACCAACGTTGTGCATGAAGCTAGTCAAAAGTGTACCAGCAAACGTTGCAAATATAGAATATATATATATATATATATATATGTATATATCTGTACTTTTCCCAGAACATATTCTGTAATTTGTAAAAAAACTAAAACACGGGACCATCTTCGACGATGTGCCAGAAGGGTGCATAACTAGGGAGTTATTAAACTTTAACCATCCAAATAGCCAATATGGCACAATAAAAAGCATTCACTAGTAACAGAAATCTAAAAAATGTTGCAACAAAACAACGTGTGTAACATCTTCGGTTTCATCTATTTCAACGGGGTGCCCTACTATGTGACAGAAAAAGCAGGTTTCTTTGGCCATTCATGTTCCACCCTGTTTAGCAGGGGCCTCCTGACGAAAGTCAATTCCGCATTTCATTTCAGGACACCCTGACTGTTTGGGGTGCAGAGTGGGGTTCGCAATAAAAATCGTCCGGGTATCGTAAAAAAACTGCACGCGACGCGCCTTTAGAGTCAATTGCCGGGCATCGCTGTCGATTCCAAACTTACCTAAACTCCTCCCTATTAAAATCATACAAACCCGTGAGCCGTATAAACAGGGCGAAAATCAGCTTCGACTGTCCTGGGGGGCGGGGGCGGGGGCCCCCCACACACTAAACAGGGTGCGACAAGAAGGCTCCCAAAAGTGTACCTCCAGGGACATCATGGGCCGCCCGGCCGCCCGTAAAGGCCCGCCTCAACGAGGCCAGCGTCACTCCACTGAACCGTAGGCTGTAAATGGGTGGCTCTCGCCCTAAACCCTAAACCCTAAACCCTAAACCCCAAACCCTAAACCCCAAACCCTAAACCCTAAACCCTAAACCCTAAACCCTAAACCCAAACCCTAAACCCTAAACCCTAAACCCTAAACCCTAAACCCTAAACCCTAAACCCTAAACCCTAAACCCTAAACCCTAAACCGATACTTAAGGGAACCGACCGTTTTCTGCCCTGTGTAGACCCCATATGTACCTTTTAAGATGCCCTGCATACCTGGTTCAGGGTTTAGGGCTTAAGGTTTCGGAGCCCTGAACCCTGAACCTTACACCCTAAACCCTAAACCCTAAACTAAACCCTAAACCCTAAACCTTAAACCCTAAACCCTAAACCCTAAACCCTAAACCCTAAACCCTAACCCCTAAACCCTAAACCCTAAACCCTAAACTGTAGCAAGCCCCAAGCTCACGCTCCCTGAGTCGCAGAACCAACATGAGGCTGCATGACGAAGCTGATGCAGAATACTCTGCCAGTGTTGGCTGCAAAGGTGCGGGGATGTGGGAGGGAGGGGGGGGGGGTAAGACATGGTTTGGGACCAGAAGGTTTTGGGGTTTAGCTGAAGCTTTTCAAGATGCAACCCCATAGCCCTGCTTTAGGGCCGACAGAGCTGCTGGGACTTGTTGCGACAAGGTTTCGCGAAACACACCCCTAAAGCCTAGTGAAGCTCCACAGACCCTCCCCTAAACCCTGAACCCTAAACCCTAAACCCTAAACCCTAAACCCAAAACCCTAAACCCTAAACCCTAAACCCTAAACCCCTCAACTCCGACCTGCAAGCCCTAAACCCGAAACTGTATACACTCTGTGAAATAGTCCTTGTAGACCAGCGCGTACGAAGCCTGTTAGGTAAAAGCTACAGCACTCATGTACAGTCAGAGTCTGTTTGCCGACCAGTTTTGACAGCACCGACTCACCGCAGGGGCCCCTTTTTTGGAGCCAAGGCTCAGACGGGAAAACGGCCAGTTTTCACACTGGTAGCGGAGCCAGTGCCCTTCAGGGGCCAGTGCTCTTTTCACCTTTTTCGTTCGCCCTAGAGGCGATAGCCGCCAGCGTGTGTCGCCATGGCCACTGGCGGAGGTTTGCGTTTCAATCCTCGGAGCAACCAGGAGCCCGAGCTGACAAAGCAAGGTTTCTTGGTGTATAGTGGATCCGTTTCGGACTACTATGAGTGGGAATTTCGGGCGATGGCGAAGTACCACGCTACGAAGGCGGATGAAAGGTTTACACTTGGTGCAAAATAGCTGGAGTCCCTTCGAGGGGACGCTTACATTGTTGCCCAGGACTTGGGGCACGATGTACTGAAGAGCGCCGACGCGATCACGCAGATCATCGACGCTGCGCGTAAGGTGATTTTTCCTTTGCAGGCCCAAGAGGCAAAGGAACTTTACCGAGTCGGGGCCAGCGTTGGTGGTGTGATGTCAAGACAAGCAGGAGAGTCTATGACCTCCTATATCGGGCGAAGAAAGAGATGGTACAGAAAGTTGAAGGAGTTGGACAAGACGATAGAAATATCCGATACCATCCTTGGAGATCTTTTACTCGACAACTCTGGATTAGATCGCAAAGAGCGACTAATGGTACTTACAGCTGTCGGGGAAACGTCTTCTTTTGATGCGATCGAGAAAGCCCTCATTACTCAACATGGGAAATTGCATGTTCTGGAGTCCCGAAGTTCGGGCAAGGGTGCAAGCAACTACAACCGCCCCAGAGGCATGGCCTACAAGGGAACAAAGAGTTCTGGCAAAGGAAAGGCGAATGCCCAGACTCACCATGGGGCAGCCTATCTGGCAGAGCCTGAGGACCTCTTCGACTCCTACGACGCCGGGGAATCCTTTTCGGATCCCGAGGCAGAGGAAGAAGAGCTGGTACCTGATGATCAGGACAGTTCAGCCTTCATGGCTGATTCCCTTGGAGAGGCAACAGCCGAGAAGATAGAGCTGGATGTTGTGGAAGCATTCCTTTCGACACCAGACTTTAGTCTGGATGATGATGAGTGTATTGCTTTCCTTGCTTCAGCTTGTCAGGCTGAGGTTTGTGCTTTCTTTGCTCGCTCCAAAGCGAAAGGCAAAGGAAAGCCGATGGGAAAGCATGCCCACGGCTACAGGCCCAAGCCCAGCGGTTTGAGTATTGAAGACCGCAAAGCGAAGCTCAAGGAGATCAAGGCACGTAGCGTTTGTCGCACGTGCGGGAAGAAAGGGCATTGGGCTGGTGACCGAGATTGCAAAGGCAAGCCATCTTCAGGAGGCAGCAGCACGCAAGGCACCAAGGATAGAACTGCGCATTTCTCCGCGATCTTGACAAAAGACGCGTCCGTGCAGACCTCGTTTTGTTGCTCATCTTCGGAGAGCGAAGGGTCAGAGGTACTGCATAAGCCTCAAATGTTTCTGGCGCTGGATGACGATCACGAGCATCCCGAGGGTTACCCGGGCTTCTTCAACCCCGGAGACTTTGCGGAGGAAGAAGAAGAGCTCGAAGAAGCAGATGGGTCGTTTGAGTTGCTAGAAGCACCGCCTGAGGGTTCGGACACCGTTTTTGGGTTCGGAGTTCACCGAGGTTCCACCTTCGGGGATGTCGTTTTGAGACACCCTGACTATTTCACGTGGGGCATCAAGGAAAAGAACCCCAGCCGAACGCTGGAGGAGTTCCTTGTGTGGTGTAACATGTACTACGTGTTCCCACGTGGAAAGGCCGAAAGAAGGGAATACCCTCTTTCAGGTTATGAGGCGCGAGACCTCGAGTCTGTTAAGGCCTGGATGCTGTCACAAGGCATCGGTGGAAAGGTGAACAAGTCAAAGCTCGCCAACCTGAAGCCGGATCCTCGTGGACCGTGCCAAGGCGGATGCCCGGCTCATGCCATTAGTAAGGCAGGGTCAAATGACAAGGTCATCAAGACCACTTGCATGATTTGTGGCCACCGATGGTCAGAGCCACGGCCACAAGCGCAGCCCACGAGGGATGCGGCGACTTGTCCTCACAGCCGCACGGACAACAGAGGTTCCACCAGGGCCGTGCACAAGGTCTGGTGTTTGGACTGTTGTACTTTTGTTGAGGAGATGCCGCAGGCGCTCCACAAGCAACAGGTTGAGCTAGGGAGAGCCGCGCAACAGGCACCCCTGAAGGCCCAGGACCTCACCCGTCGTACGCTTCAGGACACACCTCTTACGCAGATGGAGGCAGGCGAGGTAATCAAGCATTTTGTGAAGAACATGAATAGATACCTCACGAGAGTAGAGAGCACTTCCTCGCAGGAACTTCTGAGCATGTTGAGTGACTCTGTTGATTTTGTAGTAGCAAGCCAAGCCACTCAGCAAGTTTTAGGGACGGCTAGTAGTAGCTCAGGTTTCGCTAGGAGGGATCTCCAAGCACAGGCCCTAAATCCCGTAGGAAGAAGTCCTCCAGGAACTCCCGCTCACGCCTCTGCCGCCGCAGCCGTTTTGGCCCCTAGGACGCCGCCTAGGACCCCGCAGAGGCCGACAGCGCCTCAGCTTCCTGAGAGGGGCAGTCCTCCAGGATACCCACCGCACGCCTTTATGGCGGTGGAAACGCCCGAGCCTGTGTTGGAGCAGCTCGAGGAGGTCGATCCCCTTAGGGACGACCATGTCTACGCCATGCTCGATGAAGGTTGCAACTCCACCTGTCACGGGGAGAAATGGCGTATAGACGCAGAAAAGAAGCTCGAGAAGCTTGGCTTCCGAGCGAAAGCTGCACCACTTACCGTGGGCACCTACCGTGGAATCGGAGGTGCAGAGGCCACGCAGAGATTGGTGTTTCCAATCGCTCTGGCGATGGAGCCATCTCAGCTGTCTTGGAATGGCAGCGTAGCAAGCAATGAGATTGGGGGGCAAGACTTTCCGCTCCTTCTCTCGTTGCAAGTGCAGCAGAAGCTAGGCCTGAGGAAGGACGTGAGAGCCGGACTAGTTCAACTAGCCGACTACCCAGGCCAAAGCTTGAGGTTGTTCAAGAACAGCCGAACCGGACTACTGATGATCCGAATCGACCAGTTCGAGAAGGACTTGGCCGAAGGACATCAGGAGTTCAGACTGGAAGAGTATCCGAACCTGCCAAAGGTCGGACACCAGTCACCTTCAAGGACCGTTATGGCCTTGAGGAGCGCCTCACCGGTTCAGAGAGCCTACATGATAGCCGATACAAAGCCGAACATCGTTTTGATGTCGGCAGGAGTGTGGACGCTAGACGTAGGCGCGGAAAGTTCCAAAGTGAGTAAGGAACTCACCGACGCAGTGGACAGAATCCACGCGAACCGATTTTCGGTCGCACTTCCGAAGAATCTTGAATTGGTGAAGAGAAGTTTGAGGAAGAACTACCCGATTATCACAGAGGAAGTGAAATCGGACGATCACCTTGTGATCTTGGATGTAAGGGAGATCCCAGACCCGAAGAATTACCGGGATCATATCGGGACGTACCCGGAGAACCTGCACCACACCGTCTACAGCAAGACTTTTCTATCCCTTTGGGAAGAAATTGCAAAGCAGATCGATCGGATTATCCGACGGTCGAAAGATGGTGACAAGATCATCATCCTTTTCTTGTGCACTGGTGGAAAGCACAGGAGTGTAGCCCTGAGACACCTTGTGCAAGTCGTACTTGAGAATGTCTATGGCATCTGTGCTGGATATTTGGACGTGTCGAGAACAGTCAATTGGCATAAAACATGCCAAGGCTGCACAAGATGCAGACATGTCGAGAGTGACGACAAAGAAATCCTTGAGGAGATGGAGGCCTACGTCGTCAAGCAATGGAAGGGTTTCTTCGACCCCTCAAGAACGCCAGTGAAGGGAAGAAGTCGCACACCAGCAGGAACTTGGGTGCGAAAGGACGGGAGAAGTGATGCCTCTACACGTTCTTCGTCCGCCCCGAAGCAGGGAGATCAGCAACTGACTCCCGGCACGGGGGCCACGCCAAAGGCGATGCCGAAGGACGGAGGCACGCCGGAGAGAAAAGGAAAGGCTTCGACCTCTACGGATGTCAAGGACACCGAGAAGGACAAGAAGAAGGCGCATGCAGCAAACGCGAGCGCGAAGAAAGGAGCCCGCAAGGCGGAGGCCGGAGACTCGTTAACGAGCTCCGATGACGACTTGTTGGGAACCAGTGGCGTCCCAGAACACTACCACGACTTCTCCGATTTGATTGAGGAAGACCACCGGGACTTGGAGCGCATCGCGTACATTTTCATCCACAGGATCGTCCAGGTTTTTCAACCGGACGCCCTAACAAAGCCGGATACGCTGATCCGCAAGTATTCGGACAGCTTGGTGTTGGCTATGGGTGCGGTCGCCCGCAAGTATCTGGACGAGAAGCAAGCTCGCCAGATCCTCGAAGCAGTCTTACGTTTGCGTAGACTGGACATCGAGGGTTTCAACGCAGAGTACCTCGAGAAGTCTCTTAGGGCAGCCACCGAAATGGTTGATGAGCTCGACGAGGCGACGCCTGACTTCGGCACCAGAGACGTGCGAGACAGCATGCGGGGCCGCAGTCTAGGCTCAGCTGCCGCAGGATCGAGGGATAATCCCCGATCCAGGAGCGCTCGGGGGTATGGGCGAAGCGCAACCCCAGTTAGGAAGAAGTGGCATTGGGACGATCGTCGAGACGTCCGGAACACGCCACGCAAGAGCCGCGAGGAGGAAGCCAGGGAGTATCAGGAGCGTAGGGACGCGCGAGAGTCTCGCGAAAGCCAGCAGCGTCGTGTGAGGAACGACCAGGACCACGAGCGTGCGAGGTCAGACCTGCTGGGTATGGGGATTGATCCGAACTTACCAAGCGAGATCACCTCAGCTTACCTTGACCAGATGTGGCAAGGAGACCCTCGGACTTCGAAGAAGCCGGTGCTAATGCTGTGGGTACAGGACCCGAAGGAAAAGAATGGGCCTGTGAGAGTGACCCTTAAAACGGGCACTTACAACACTGCCACGAAGGTCGCGCCCGAGCTGAAGAACTGGTACAAGAACACGTTCGTTCAGCGCGAGGAAGGAGGCGACTGGTCTTGGGCAGAGCGATGGGAGTGGCCAACCCACGTTCAGGAGTTCAGCGAGAAAACGTACAGGGTAGCAATTGTTTTGTGCGCCCAGAGAATGAACCACAGCTGACTCTTTGACGAAAGTGAGGTATACGATGGTTCGCAGTTTTGCTCTGCCTACTACTCCACGCCATCGATATACCCTGGAGCGCCTGTAATGGGCACAAAGGAAAGAGAGACCTTTGAGAAAGGCTCTCGACAAATGAGCAAGCGAGATTCGCTGCTATGGAAGGAGTTGAGGGGATCGTTTACGACCCCTGAAGAACCAAGAAAGGTATTCCTTCTTGGGCAATGGTTCGGACCTTTTGAGGAGGCCGAAATGAAAGCAGCAGACCCCGGACCAGATCTGGCCGGGTATGAGACTGCGAGTTGGAGGCATAAAGTGTCCCAACAGATCCAATCGTTTCACCCAGACCTACTCTTAGTTTTGTTTCCGGGAGACTGCGCCAAGCAGCTCTCAGAGACCGCCTCGGAGTGGCTACAGGACTTGCTCTCGCAGAGTGAAATGTGCGTTTGCGTTTTAGACGAAGTGGGTTCAGTTAGGTGGAAAGATTTGGAAGGTTTGGAAAGGGACGACAGTAAAAGTTTTGAACTTTACTACGCTAGAGGTGACCTTTGTATAGGCACTAGTAACCAAGGCTTGGGGGAGACCCTTTCTGTGTGGGCTAGTCAGGATCATAGTCGCTACTATGCTCCGATAAGCATTGACACGATACACACTCACGAAGGTTTCAGTCGGTTGATTGTTGATGTTTTGGAAGAGACTCTTCATGATCACGATCTTCATGTTGCGTTCCCTGTTGAAGCTTTGATTGAAGATCATATGGAGTTGGGTACTCTTGACACTGTTCCTTTAGGGGAGGATGTTGAAGGTTTGGACCTCAACTTTGTCGACCCGATGCAAGATCATGAAGATGACTTGTTGGATACCTTACCCCTCGCCGGTTTCCCTAAGGATGAGGCCGAAAGGCGTAGGGAGTGGGCTAAGGTTCCTAGGAAGGTGAGGATCGCAATTAGGCGACTTCACAACATGATGTCACACAAGCCAAAGGAAGTTTTGTTGCAGGTTTTGAGAGGTTCAGGAGCTTCGGACGATATGATTAGGGCGGCGAAAGCATTCAGGTGCCCTACATGTGCTGTTTCACAAGAGATCCCGAAGACTCACCCTGTTTCCGCACCACCTTCCTATGTTTTTAACAAGGAAGTTTCAATTGATGTGTTCGAGGTTCAGGATTCGGACAGAACCAAATATCAGTTTCTTAACATGATATGTGTAGGTACTTGTTACCAAGTTGTTGCGTTGGTCAGGGTAGGAGAAGGACAACCTACCAGCGCGCAGTGTTTGAAAAAGTTCCAGAGACACTGGGTACAGTGGGCTGGATGGCCCGAATCTGTTTCAACAGATCGGGGATTGCACAATCGCGGTGCATTTGCAACCGGACTTTCGCAACATGGCGTTGTGTTGAGGCAAGCCGGTCTTGAAAGTCCAGAACACATCGGAAGATGTGAAAGGCACGGAGGTATCATTAAAAGAGCCTACCGAAGAGTGTGCAGACAGCACCACCTGCAAGGTAAAGAACAGGTGAAAGCAGCTATGACAGAATGTCAAGTTGCCAAGAATGAATTTGTGAGACACGGAGGATTTTCCCCGTCGCAATGGGTACTTGGAAGGCAACCTAGAGGCATAGGACATCTCTTGGATGAGGATGAACTAGGTCAGCTAGGAGTACTCAGTGGAGCGATGGACCCCTCCACAGCATTTGGACGCAGCATAGAGTACCGCCACACTGCGAGAAGAGCGTACCTACAGGCAGATACTTCAAGGCGAGCTAGAGCCGCCGTGCTGCGCAAGTCGGGACCACTACCAGGCAAGTACTCCGCAGGAGACTTGGTGTGCTACCGAATCGAAAGAGACTCGAGCGGTGTGCCTAGCTGGAGTGGAGTTTCCCGCATCATTGGTTTTGATGGGAAGACCGTCTGGGTAACGCACAGAGGCGTGCCCGTAGCAACTAGTTTAGGCAAACTCCGACCGTGTACTTCGGCGGAAGTTCTAGCTTATCAGATTTTGAGTAAAGGCAACTTACAGTACGAACACCTAGAATCTGAGAGAGAGCAGCAGCGATTTGTCGATGCACGAGCGCACGACAGTGATGCAGACGATGAAGAGGACAGTGACTCTGCACGTCCGTCTTCTGCCATACGCTCAAATCCTTTGGAAGGATTGAGGACAGTGAGAAGGAGAGTGGGACTTACTCCTGAAGAGTCACGGGCAGAGCCCCGTGTAGAGCCCACGATAGAAGAACCCGAAGTAGAAGACGCTCAACAGATGGATGAGCCTACGGTGGAAGCCGTAGCAGAGAATGATCCGCAACTTGACGCGGCGGACATTCCGGTTCCCGAAGAAGAGGACACAGCTGATGCTTTATTGGCACAGTTTAAGATTCCCACGTATGGATCGAAAGAGTGCAACAAGTATAGAGCTTTTGTGGCCGATCGAATAGACTCAGAAAGCGCCCGAAAGTGGTTGAAGAAAAGGAGCAGCTATTCTAACAAGAAGAAAGCTGCGCAGAACAAGGTGTTCACATACGAAAAGTGTTCACCAGAGTTGCAAAAGGGAATCGACGGATCCCGTAAGATCGAATGGGACAAGTGGAAAGAGTTTAACGCTGCACTTGATCTCGATGAAGAGCAGTACCAGAAGCTTAAAGATGAAGGCCATGAGGAAGTACCGCTCAAGTGGGTTGACACAGATAAGAACGATGCACTTAGAGGCACGCAACCAGATATTGAAGTACGGCATAAAAGTCGACTCGTCACCAGAGGAGATTTGGAGTCTGGGGATATCCGATCGGATTCTCCGACGGCAGATATCGAAGCTCAGAATTTGATATTCAGCTTCGCCGCTTCGCGGAAGGTGAGAATAGGCTCAGCCGACATCACAAATGCCTATTTTCAAGGAGAGGAATTAGACAGAGTACTAATCCTCAAACAGCCAAAGGGAGGACTCCCAGGGGAGCCCCCAGAGCGAAGGTTTCTGGCAAGGGTACCCGTGTACGGGACTCATGACGGAGGACGTAAGTTTTGGAAACGTCTCAAGACCAGTGCGCAGAAAAGAGGTTTTCTGGAAAACGCCATTTTCAAAGCACTTTATGTTCTCCGCAACAACGAGGGACGTATTATTGCGCTACTTTGCACACACGTAGATGACCTGCTGTGGGCAGCCGAGCCAGAAGCAGAGCCTGTCATCGAGGAATTGCTGAAGGAGTTTTCGTGCGGAAAAGTAGAGCGAAAAACTTTCCGTTACTGCGGGAAGGAAGTTTCCCAGGCAGATGATTACACTATCACTGTCACCTGCAAAGAAACGACATTGAAAGTTAGGAGGATTTTTATTGCCCCTAAACGAAAACCCGGTGAGCCCTTGACTGATAAAGACAAGCTACAGCTAAAAAGCGTAGCAGGAAGTCTGTCTTGGGTGGCGAGGCAATGTCGTCCGGACTTAGCATATCGAGTAAGTCGAATGCAGTCCGCTAGCGCAGGAGGAATTGTAGCAGACCTTCGAGAGGCGAACAAAGCCGTCGACTATGCGTTAGCGACGCCGGATAGAGGTTTGACTTTCAGAGCAAACGTTCTGGATTGGGACAACCTTATTTCGTGTGTCATCACTGACGCCAGCCATGCAAATGAGAGTCAGGTGATGAAGGTCAAAGGTGAGGATTCTGTGGAACCTTACCGAAGCCAAGGAGCTAGGTTGAATGCCCTTGGAACCCCCAGTTTGATCTCATCAGATGAAGGGCATATGCACCTCATCAGTTACGCCTCAAGGAAAGTGCGTAGGGTCTGTAGATCCACGCTGCAAGCCGAAGCCTATACCCTGCAGGCAGGAGTTGAAGAAGGCGATAGACTGCGAGCTGCCGTCGCAGATCTTTTCGGCAAACTTGACCGCAAGAAGTGGGAAGCATCTTCTGCGGCGTTTATGAGGCAGGTGTGGTTTACGGATTGTCGTAGTCTAAGTGACACGCTCCGAAACCCTAAGATGAGCAAGCATGAGGATAAGCGACTCTCTATCGAGATCGCCTCAATGCGAGAATCCCTATGGAGAGCAAGGGGAGAACAATACGGCGATCCTTATTATCAGGACGACCGTCCAGAAGAGCCAACGGACGAAGTTCGCTGGATCGACACAGACGTCATGGTAGCAGATCCACTGACAAAAGTCATGGAGAGCACCAAGTTAGTTGAGTGTTTGTTCACTAACTGTTTGAAAGTCGAGCAGCCGATTGAGTCCGTGATCAAGAAAAGGGCTAAGCAGCTTCAGAGAAGAAAGACTGCAGACCCTGCGGACGGGCTGGAAGTGATGGATTAGATCCACTCTTCGTTTGGACCTTGTACAGGCCAGGCTTCTACGCCAGAAGAGTCACGGGTGTGAAATAGTCCTTGTAGACCAGCGCGTACGAAGCCTGTTAGGTAAAAGCTACAGCACTCATGTACAGTCAGAGTCTGTTTGCCGACCAGTTTTGACAGCACCGACTCACCGCAGGGGCCCCTTTTTTGGAGCCAAGGCTCAGACGGGAAAACGGCCAGTTTTCACACACTCTTTTCCCGAAACAGGATGCCAACCCCAAATTCCAAGGCCCCAAACCCTATGCCCGATGACCCTAGAATCGCTTCAGAATCAATGCCCTGTCTAGACCTGCGCATTGTGGGCTAGGGGTTTAGGGTTTAGCATTGACGGTTTGGGGTTTAGGGTTTAGGGTTTAGCCATTACAGTAAGCTCAAACAGGCCAAAAACCTTACACAAAAAAAAGTCTTTGGCGCCCAAAGCCTCAAAATCAGAGTCCGTCGAGCCTTAGGGTTAGGGTTTAAGGCTGTTAAGCAAACCCTTCCCACCCTCGTTTCTTATCTTCCCCAAAGAGTCCATCGTAGTACTAGTATTGTGGAGTTAGGTACCCAAAAACCATACTTACTAGGGTTTCGGGGTACCTAATTCCATAATACTAGTCCCCTCCCCTAAGATTCCTTTTAATATTCAAAACATTCATGATAGTTATATTCTAGTGCATTCAATGCGTTTAATATCGGGGGGTAGGGGGGGGGTGGGGTTGAACCCTAAACCTCATGGGTTCCCACCCCCGTGTGTGTTTTGAGGCCTACTTCCTTCGACGCTTCGACTGGCGCGTGGACGAGCTGCTGAAGGACAAGTGCACTTGGTGGGAGGTTTGGGGTTTGCAGGGTTTAGGGTTGCAAGTTAAGGTTTAGGGTTTAGGGTTTGGGGTTTGGGGTTTAGGGTTTAGGGTTTAGGGTTTTGGCAAGAATCCTTGCCTGGTTTTAGGTTTTGTTCCCCTACACTCCACGTATTTACTCCCCGCTCAAGTACATGCTCAATTCTTGACTAGTGCCTATGTTGACTCGCGTCCTCTTTCCCTGATGCACCAGCCAGTCCGCTGGCTTGCAGCTTTCGGGTTAGGGGTTTTGGGTTTCGGGTATAGGGACCTGAGTTACACACGAACCTCTTCGGCAAGGCATGTGATAGAGGCTGTTTCCCCCAAACTCTGGACCCTGAGTTTTTTTGTGCATGCCCCGCATACTCAGTGCGCCCTACTTCTCTCTAAGATTTTGGATTGCTTTTACCAAGTTCTATGAGGCTTTATGCCTATATGTTCTCCATACAGCCCATAGGAAGTTAGGTTGTATGCCCCCCCCCCCCCCCCCCCAACCCGCCCCAAATCCAACCAACGGCCTGTTCACCTTTTTATAAAAGAGGTTCCCTTACAACCCTCCTCAATTCCCTAAACCCCTAAACCCTAAACCGCGAACCCCTAAACCCTAAAACCCAAAACCCGAAGCCCCTATTCTCGGCATGAGGACGACGCCCTGCTGCCACCGAGGGCCGCCACCAAGAGCCTCGGGCAGCCCATTCTCAATGCCCACTCGGACGGTGTAGGGTTTAGGGTTTAAGGTTCGGGTTTAGGATTTAGGGTTTAGGGCTTAGGGTTTAGGATTTAGGGTTTAGGGCTTAGGGTTTATTAGGGCTAGGGTTCAGGGTTTAGTGTTTATAGGGTTTGCGGTTCTGGGGTCGTGCACAGGCCACGTGCTGCCGGGCTTGGGCTTTGATATGGGGGTTTCTGAAATTAGGGGTATCTTTTTGGGGTCCTTGTTCTAGAGGAATCCTACTATTTGGGGGTCTAAATCAAGGGCCCCTTATTTTCGTAAACCTCTATCTGCAGGGGGTGGGGGGACGTGCAATGGTACAGGCAATTGGTGTCAAGGTTTAGGATGGGGAGAAAGGACCGGAAGGGGAGGCTCAGTTTTGGCTGGCTTTGGCCCGGGTCCTGCGGCATTGGGTTTCGTACTATCTTTCGTCGTTGAGGTTTGCGGTTTCATGCTGCTGCTAGGATTCGGTTTTTGGGGTTGTTGTGTAGTGCACGAAGTGCACGAAATGACATGTTGCGAGCATTGTGTGCGTGTATGCGCAGAGTCATGCAGGTTCTTTGTGTGTGTAGCCCAGAAATGTCGAACCCTCCCACTCCGCCCAAATCAAATCGGTGGGGTGGCAGGTAGTCTCACGCATCCGACGTTTTGTTGTCGGCGCGAATAGAGACGACCTACCGCCGCCTGCCGACTCCTACGCATAAAGAGCGAGTGTCCTTTCAGTCCGTTCACTTTGCGAGCATGTCGTGTCGGGGCTTGCGAGTTGTGATTTGCGATCTTTTCCGAAAGTGCAGAGTAGAGGCAGTCATCCAAGAATCCCCAGGCCTGTAACTATAAGCTTCTGAATGGCACTTTCCAGACGCCCACCCTCACCAAGGATTGCCAAGACCTTCAAAAACGACGCGTCGCGCGGCGTCTCATATGCCAAGGCACCAGACAACGTTCTGCTGACCCTTTGGGGAACGACCAGGGTGTTGTGCCAACCTAGAGTGTGTTGTCGGGGCAGGGGGGACGTTCTACTATGTAAAACAAACCGCAACCCTAAACCCTAAAGCCTCAGCCCTAGACCCCAAACCCTCAGCCTTAAACCCTAAACCCTAATCTAGAAGACTGCCAGGAAGCTGCTGTTTCCAAGCCATTGCACCGGTTTCGGCGGCTCCTAAGCGCACTTGAGCGCTTTCTTTAGGGTTTAGGGTTTGGGGTTTAGGGTTTAGGGTTTGGGGTTTACTTTGAACCCAAAACCCCAAACCCCAAGTTTTGAACAATGAAGCGCTAAGCCGCAAACTCTGAGCACTAGAGCCCTAGACCCTAACACCCCAAGCTCTGAGCGCTTAAGCTTCAAACCCATCCCTAAACCCTAAAACCCAAGCTCTGAACATTGAGCCCAAAAACCTACACAACTCCAACCCTAAACCCTAAACCCTAAACCCTAAACCCTAAACCCTAAACCCTAAACCCTAAACCCTAAACCCTAAACCCTAAACCCTAAACCCTAACACCTAAACCCTAAACCCTAAACCCTAAACCCTAAACCCTAAACCCTAAACCCTAAACCCTAAACCCTAAACCCTAAACCCTAAACCCTAAACCCTAAACCCTAACCCTAAACCCTAAACCCCCAAAAACTGGGAGGTGTTGAAGTTGCTCTTCTTGGATGGCTGGTGGATTGGCTTCCGAAGCTGCCTGGGCTCGGGGGTTTAGGGTTTGGGGTTTGGGGTTTAGGGTTTAGGGTTTAGGGGTTAGGGTTTAGGATTTAGGTTTAGGGTTTAGGGTTTAGGGTGTAGGATTTAGGGTTTAGGGTTTAGGGTTTAGGGTTCAGGGTTCAGGGTTCAGGGTTTAGGGTTTAGGGTTTGGGGTTTAGGCTTTAGGGTTTTGGGGTTTTGGGTTTTGGGTTTTGGGTTCAGGGTTTAGGGTCAGGGTTCAGGGTTCAGGGTTCAGGGTTCGGGGTTTAGGGTTTAGGGTTTAGGGTTTAGGGTTTAGGGTTTAGGGTTCAGGGTTCAGGGTTCAGGGTTTAGGGTTTAGGGTTTCGGGTTTAGGGTTTTCGGGTTTGGGGTTTAGGGTTTTCGGGTTTGGGGTTTGGGGTTTGGTGTTTAGGGTTTAGGGTTTGGAGTTTGAGGTTTGGGGTTGGGGTTGCCGAGGTGTACAGTGAGCTGGGACGAAAGGGCGTAGACCCTAAAGGCCCTAAAGGCGTTACAAGGGCTTAGGGAGTAGGATCCCCTAACTTCTTGCAAGCCCCCTGAGCACGGGCATAGAGTTAAGGGTTTAGCATGTACACATGTTCATGTCTGTGCGACTTAGCGAGCACCGGCCCAAAACCTGCGTGCACTCCCAACGCCGAAGCGCTACACTCTGAGCATGACCTAACTTCTCAAATCATGCTTCGCGTTTGGGGTAGTAGAGGGTTTGAGGTCTAGGGCTTTCAGGGTTTTGGTCTGCTAAAGGGGTTTAAGGTTTATGGGGCCTTGATTAAGCTTGTCGTGTATAGGCCTCCTGAGTAGGGGGGTTGGCGGGTTGGGTTCTTTCTGGGGTTCTCAGCAGTAACCGAAACCGATGTTGTTTAATGCTGATGCCTTGAGGTCCATGTCTTCCTTGGGTACGTCAAATATGAGGCTTGAGGCTTCGCACTATGAAAACAAGGAACCCCCAAAGACGGACTGGAATTAAAACCCTAAAACTCTAAAACCCTAAACCCTAACACCCTAAAACCCTAGAACCCTAAAACCCTAAAACCCTAGAACCCTAAAACCCTTAAACCCTTAAACCCTTAAACCCTTAAACCCTTAAACCCTTAAAACCCTAAAACCCTAAAACCCGAAATCCTAAAAACCTAAAACCCTGAACCCAAAAACCCAAAACCCTAAACCCTAAACCCCAAACCCTAGAACATCCCCCCCAATGTGCACGAGAGTCACGAGTGCATGGCAGGAATCGGCCACTTCTTGCGCACGGCGGCCCATCCGGATGACCTATTCGGCCTCAGGCAGTACTCAGCCCTAAACACAAACACCCGAAAATCTAACCCCTTAGGGTTTCGGGTTTAGGGTTTAGGGTTTGGGGCCTAAACCCTAAACACCCTAAACCCCAAACCGCCAAGCCCCGTAACAACTCAGCCCGAAGACCCCTAAGCCCCTAAACCCCTAGCCCCAAGGTTCAAGGGGTGAGCCGGCGCTGAAGGATCGGGTTTTCTGTTTGCGGTTTGTGGAGTTGAAGGGGTTCTTGTGAGAACTTTGGCGACATTTCGGGTTTAGGGTTTAGGGTTTCGGGTTTAGGGTTTAGGGTGTAGGGTTTAGAGGAACTTTGGTGAATTTGGGGGAGGATTCAGGGTTTCAGGCCTGGTCCTGCTGCCAGGCAGTTCCGACGGCGCTTGGCGGCCGTTCTGGAGAGGCCTGGGAGTTCTCTCGGAGTTGCTGTAGGAACCCTTGAATATTTTCAGGGTTTAGGGTTTAGGGTTTGGGGTTTAGGGTTTAGGGTTTAGGGTTGAGGGTTTAGGGTTTAGGGTTCAGGGGACATCTCTAGGAGGCTATTTGCTTTGCGTTTCAGCGGAGTTCCTTAGGCCCATCCTAGGTCTCGCTACGCGCGTGATCTTCATCGGGCAGTTGGCTCACCCCTGAGCCTTTAGGGTATAGGGTTTGGGGTTTAGGGTTTCGGGTTTAGGGTTCACGGTTTGGGGTTTAGGGTTTAGGGTTTAGGGTAGTTACATATTATTTAGTCCCTTAGCATAGTCCCTTAGCTATGGGCCTGAAAAGGGGACCCCCTTGTGTAGCCCTTATATACCCTATAGAACCCAAGGGCCCATACGTCAGAACCCTTTACAGAAGGAAAGGGGCCATATTCAGGGCCCATGAATTGAATACCAAGTGGGGTCCATAGTTCGGAAACCAAGCCCTTTGAACCCTCAAACCCAAGCCCTAAAACTTAAACTTCTAAACCCTAAACCCGAAACCCAAAACCCTGAACCCTAAACCCAGGGTTTCTAGCACACTGAAGTCCTAATTCGGCAGTCGTTCATTTGATTGTTCTCTTCTGGTGCTTTTGCGTGTGGCTTCGAGGCATCAGGGCTGAGGGCCCTAAACCCTAAACCCTAAACCCTAAACCCTAAACCCTAAACCCTAAACCCTAAACCCTAAACCCTAAACCCTAAACCCTAAACCCTAAACCCTAAACCCTGTGAGCCCTCGACCGTTTTGATTCGTTGTCAGGTCCCATCGGCGCCGGTTTCTCATGTCCTCAGGTCAGCAAGCCCAGTTGCTGGGCGGCAAGTAAGCCCCAAACACTGCAACTCTCGAGCCCGAATCCCTGACGTTCTTAGGCGGATCAAAGGATCGGGGCTTCGGGTCCTTTAGTTGTTGAAGGTACACGGTGTAGACACTGAGGCCTTGGGACGCAGGGTGTTAGGGCCGTCATGTTACAGATCCTAGTGAAAGAAGTGGTCGCAAGATCCCAAAATGCGAGGCTCTCAGCCCCAACACTTCGTTGGGCTTTGGATATTTTAGAGTTTTCGGTGGAGGGCTTAGGGCTGCGACAATCGAAAATACAGAAACCCGGCTTTTCGCAGCAGGGACCCTAAGCCCTAAGCCCTAAGCCCTAAGCCCTAAGCCCTAAACCCTAAACCCTAAACCCTAAACCCTAAACCCTAAACCCTAAACCCTAAACCCTAAACCCTAAACCCTAACCCTAAACCCTAAAAATGTGTGTGTTTCAGAGCACGGCCGCAAACGCTAAGGTCATGATGTAGGATCCCTTCCATGTTTGTGGTTGGGGTCGTGGACGAGTGACAGGCCTCTAGACTCTAGATGGAGGCTGAAGAAGGGCTTTCAAGCACACTTCAACAGAAGACATGTAGCGCACGGCCGCGTAGTCTAGGGGGGGTGTCTGTCGCGGCTCTTTTGGAGTAGGGGGGGGGAGGGGCAGGAGGAGGGGGGGGTTAAGCATGCGAGCTTCAATCTGCTGAGCTTGAGGCAGGACAGGATCCTCGCGCAAGCCCGATCGAAGAATTCCACAGGCAGGGCACCGCAAGTTTTGTGGGGGGGCTCGTGTGCCTGAGAGTTGCTGGTCCTGGTTGCAGGGAGACAGGGCTTCTCGGAAATCTAAAACGCCAGCTTTGGTCTGGCCATCGTAGTACAGGAGACTACAAAAAACAGCTGTTGTTACTCTCTTGGAAATTGTTAAACTCTTACTAAGCCCGAGCCCTAAACCTAATAAGATGCCAAGACTGGACGACATGACAGGCCCATAGAGCATCGTTGCACGTGTTTAGGGTTTAGGGTTTAGGGTTTAGGGTTTAGGGTTTAGGGTTTAGGGTTTAGGGTTTAGGGTTTAGGGTTTAGGGTTTAGGGCTGCAGGGTTCAGAGTGTCATCCCCCCAAGCCGAACTGGCTGGAGTCGACTCCAGCAGGTAGAGCCCTAAACCCTGAGCCCTCAAGCCCAACACCCTGAGCCCTACAGTCTAACCCGAAGCTTCGGAGGGTTTAGGGTTTAGGGTTTAGGGTTTAGGGCTTAGGGCTTAGGGCTTAGGGCTTAGGGCTTAGGGCTTAGGGCTTAGGGCTTAGGGTTTGGGACCTTTTGGAAAGGGCTTTTGAAGCCACCGAAAGATAAAGGCGTGGCATGCAGATCACAGTCACTGGGTAGTGCTTTGGGATAATTTTACATTTCCCTTCTTTCCCTTTTAAGGGAGCCTATTCATTAAGAACAATTCAAAGGGCTTCAAAGCAACACCCAGTTTAGGGTTCGGACTTCTGGGCTTCGGCAGCTTGCTTAGGGAGTTCGTTTTTGCTCTTGTCTTAATAAACCCGACGGAGTGTTAACAGTTGATTTCTTTGATCTCAAGGAGGGTATTGGAGTGGGGCTGAGGGTTCTTGCTCAGGGTTTATGGTTAAGATAGGACTGGAGCTAGAATCCAGACATGTGAGTTTGGGTTTACAGTATATTTCTCAAGCCCCAAACCCTAAACTCTAAATCCCACTCCTGTTTCTGCGAACTTCCTAGTACCCTTTGACCACGAGTCTGGCAAGGCCGTGTGCGTTGGGTGGCTGTATCCTTGGCAGCTTCGATGAATGGTTCCCCATCAACAACCCCTAAACCCCCCAAAGCCAAAACCTCCAGTCCCAAACCGAAACCCTAAACTCCGAAACCCCAATCCTAAAACGCTAAACACGAAGCTCCTCCACTCTTTGGGACGATTAAATCTGGCTCAAAATATCTTACTTCTCCAAGTCCTTGGCATTCTTCACATGCCCGTAATGGACTTTTAATGCCAAATAGTCTTGGCTTAGGGCAAGAAAATCTTTTTGATAATACAATGACTTGCTGATTCCTAAAATTACTCTCATTAGATTTTGCTATTTCCTTTATTACTATTTCTGCTATTCCATTAGCTGGTTTCAATGCATTTTCTAGGCCATCTAGTATTCTGGAATGATGATAATTATTTATCCTTGACCCCCAAAACTCCTGAACTCTTGAACCCTAGGCAGAAACACGAACACCGACTCCCAACTCAAAGGGCCTCAACTGATGAGCTTAGCCCCAAACCGAGCCCTAAGCCCAAGCCCGAAACCCGAGGGTTCAGACCTAGGCGGGAGGATCATCACACGAGGGTCTTGGATTCGAGCCCAGGACAAGTTCTACACGTCCGAGACATGCCTGCGGCGGGTGTTTGATCGCGCCTCACCTAGCACTACGAAGGACTTGGAGATGTAGTGTTCAAACAATCTTGATCCCCAAGCCCTAAACCCCTAAACCACAAAACCGTTAGTTTTGTTAGGGTTGAAGTCGTTTTGTTGGTTGGTTTTCGGGCTTGAGGAACCCCATGTCTGAGACCCCCGGACCCTAAGTTTTAGTTGGGGGACTTGGGTTGCAGGGCTTTAGAAAAAGTTGCGGCTCCGCCTGCGGCTCCAGTTTTTTTCCGGAATATGCTTAGGGTTTGGGTGGATTTCTGGTTTAGGGTTCAGGGAAGCTGCTGAGGGAAGCCGCTTAGGGAAGCCCTAAACCCTCAAACCTAAACCCTAAACCCTGAACCCTAAACCCTAAACCCTAAACCCTAAACCCTAAACCCTAAACCCTAAACCCTAGGAGGTTCTCTTAAACCCTAAACTCAAGGAGGTTCTCTTAACACTTGCGGCTGGGTTCTGCCACCCAGACAGGCTTCGTCTTCTCTAGTTCCTGGCTCGGGACATTTACACTGTAGAATCTCCGCTGCGAGAGCTCGATGGCATGTCTTCCTCAAACCTGAGCTGACCTAAACGCTAAACCCTAAACCCTAAACCTTAAACCCTAAACCCCAAAGAGGTTCCCCAAGCCCCAAAGGCCCTCCGAGCTCCAGGCAAAGTTTGGCGGGCTTGGAGCTTAGGACTTTTGTGGATTGGCGCCTTTTAGCGGGGTTTAGGGTTTAGGCTTTGGGGGTTGAGGGTTTTTTTGGCGGTTAGAGTCTTAGAGTGTTGTGGTTTTAGGTTTACTGGGGGAGGTATTATAATTATTATTGTTTGTTTTTGTTTGTTTTTTTTTTGAGCGGGGTGGGGGGGGGGGGGGCGTGTTGAGATCTTTGAGGGTTCTAAGGTTTCGGGGTTGGGAATGAGAAGGTTTTGGGTTAGCGCAGGCTCGGTTCCTGGCGACACGGTGATTGCCATTCACTACCCGCCACGCGGCGACATCCAGTCCAGTTCCGGAAAGCCTTTCAACTATAGCCTCAATCCTCCTAGGTAGGATAAGAGGGACCCTTAAAGGGGAACCCCTTCTTAACCCTCTTCTGGCTCTCTTAAACAGGGAGCCTATTCAGAGGGTCTAAATCCCCAAGGGTCCCCCTCATCCTATCCCCTAAATCCGAAGCGCTTTCAAAAAGGACCAAACTGAAACCAAGAAGGAGCAGCAAACCCGACGCCCTCAGCCCCTAAACCCCTCGGCCCTCAAACCGTCTTGGAGTCTCCAGGTCTTACCTATCACCCTGCGTACCCTGCAAGACACCCCCGACGAACCCTGAACCCTAGACCCTAAACCCTAGACCCTGAACCCTAAACCCTAAACCCTAAACCCTAAACCCTAGACCCTAAACCCTAAACCTTGAACCCAAAAGCCCTGGCGACCTGAGTACCCCAGTGCCCTTTACACAGCCCACAAACCGGCAGGAACAAACATGCAAAGACCACTGGCCCGAAACCTGGACCCGAAATCCTAAATTCATACTCAGAGAATGTTGTTTTTGTTGTTTAATAGAGGTGTTCAACGGGGAATATACCAAAAACCCTAAACCCCGAACCCCAAACCCTGAACACCTAAACACCCAAAACTCCACACCCGAAACCCTAAATCCGAAACCCCAAACCCAAAAACAAACCGAACCCTATACCCCAAACCCCCAAAGGCAAAACCCCGAAACCCTAAACTCCTAAACCCTAAACTCCTAAACCCTACACCTCGAAACCCCAAAACCCCAAACCCCAGAACCCCCTGAGACCTAGTAGGGAATCAGGGAATTCGGGCCCTATACATACCGTTTAACGGATTTAATAGCTCTAGACCCTAAACCCTAAACCCGCCCTAAGCCCTAAACCCCAAACCCCAGGAACATGGCCAGCGACCTGGTCCCAGAAGGTCTCTTCCCAGAGCCTCCCGACAGCCAGGCTTCAGTAAGCCGGCGTGAGCCTTTCAGTTTAGGGTTTATGGTTTAGGGCTTAGGGCTTAGGGTTTAGGGTTTAGGGTTTAGCGTTTAGGGTTTAGGGTTTAGGGTTTAGCGCTAAGGGTTTAGGGCTTAAGCCCATAGGAGTTGGGGTTCCTAGGGTTCCGAGGAACTTTGGGAGTCAAAGTGTACCTGCCAGGAGTGGTCCCACTTTGATCCGTACAACACACTGCCGCCGCCATTGCCTGCATCCCTGCAGGACTGCACATTCCCCTCCCAAGCACAGAGACAGTCCTTGTGCGGACGAACATCGTCATGCAAGACAGAAGGAGCCATGGAAGCCGCGTGGTGCGAAAAGGACGAGAAGCAATCTGCAGATCGGGTTCTTGACTTGGTAGCGGAGCTATGGTTTGTTCCGGTGGCTCCTGCTGCAAGAGCAAGAGCTCCATCTTTGCTTACTGGTGTTCGCTCTTGCTGGTCTTTCCTTGCAACTCTTCACCGAACACAAGATCGAGGTTGATCGTGCAGCAACGACAACTGAACTCAATGCGCCATGCTATGGATCAAGGATGAATTCGGAATTCCCTGAAGATGATCGCGCCCTGCTGCGCTGCTGGAGCGGCAAGGTTCTACAGGAACTTCCTGAAGTGTTGGCAATCAAGCATGTGTGGGAAGATGAAGCTGCAGACGGTGGCATCTCCCATCACAAGACAGAGAAGATTCTTGAAATCAGGACACAGGTACACGATGCACCTAACCTTGGTGGAGTTCATGAGCCCACTCTCCCGAGGCTATGTGATGTCACAGAGCAGGTGCGAATGCGCCAGGCACAGAGAGCTTTGGCAAATCGCAGAACTTACGAGTCTGAATCTGAAGCTCAGCGGTTTGACATCCTTCGAACTCCGAGCTTGAACCAGAACATCCTGTGTCTCAACCATGGCGTCTAGTGGCTGCGAGCGAGAGCAGCTTTAAAGGCGAAGACCAAGACCACTTGGCCGTTAGAGCTGGCCAATACCTTGCAAGTGTGGGACTTCATAGGCAAGAAACAGAATAGGGTATGTAGGAGTACGTATGCCGCTGAGCTCCACTCGTGTCTAGTGGCATGGCTTTGGTAATCAACGCAGCACTAACAGAGATTCTTCAAGGAAATGCTCTGCCAGTGCCCTGTTAATGAAACAAGAGGCCATGAGTAATGCCCTCGAACTTGATATGTGGATTGATGCAAGATCAGTCTTCAGCTCCTGCGAAGCTGAGGAAGCCAAGTGCGCTGATTCGGCAGTCATGCTGCAGGCGTTGAGCGTGGAGAACAGATAAGTACGGTTATTGATAGGCTAATATGGGTCGACGCTCGCTTCACGCTTGCAGATCTCAACTCAACCAAGGCTCTGTTGACTGCGCTGCCCTTATGTGCGAGTCCTCCAGATGGGACATTCTTGAACCGATGCTAAACGTGCCTGAGAAAGTTTCCAGTCGATCGCGAATCCCTGATCATGACGACTCCTTGCATCCGTGAGACTTTTATCTACATGCCCTGAATGCAACCCACGGAGAAGATCTCCACACAGCCATTCCGAGTCGAAGCGTGCCTGCCAGGATTGGTCCCACTTCGTACAACACACTGCCGCCGTGCAGCCTCGAGGTGGTTGAACCCTTGCATTTAAGGTTACTTAGGCAGGTGGTTGAAAGCATATGTCATTGCCTGCGTCCCAGCTGGAGTGCGAAAAGGACGAAAGCGATTTGCAGATCAGTACATTTGGACATCAGACCACCTTGACTTTGGGCATTTCGGCGTGAGGGTTCGGGCTTTTCGGGGCTATAGGGAGTGGGGAAAGGGTTTGGCACATCCCAATTTGGTGAAGCCTTCCTTTGGCATTTTCTTGTTTTATTTGGTTTCGGATTTAGGGTTTAGGGCTCAGAGTTTAGGGTTTAGGGCTAGGGTGGGTTGATCTGAAACGCGAACACCTAAGCCCCCAACCCCACTTGCTTCGTAAGTCGGTCGGCTCAATGGTGCTTGCCGGGGCAAGCGGAATGGAACAGGCCATCTCGTAACAAGGATTCTGAAACGAGGAACTGACCGAATTAGGGTTTGGGTTTAGAGTTTAAGAGGAGTTGGAGCCCGGCTTTCTGAAATGCAGGAGCCTAAATAGTTTCTGACCATCCTGCTTCGAAACCTTCGAAACCATTCCTGCTTAGAAACCGTGTACTATTTCAGTACTGACTACCCCAGAAAAATTCAGATTCATGACCTAAACCGTCACCCTACACCCTTACGCGAGTGGCCCCATAGTAACTCGAACGGGTGAAAAGTTCGCAGGGGTTGTGGCCCTGCCACAAGCTCGAAAGCCAGATTTTCAAGCACAGCGGCAGATGGAGATGGAAATAGGGTTTACAGTTTAGGGTTTAGGGTTTAGGGGTTAGGGTTTTTGGCATAGTGGGTGAGAACGCCGGACGAGGCCCTCTAGTAGTTCCATTGGCCCATTGGGGACTCGAATTCAGTGTAGGCAGCTCTCTAACGCTTCTTTTTGGGCCCACTGCGCACGTACCTAAGGTTACTGTTGGTTAGCAGGGAATGAGAAAATTAGGCCCTATATGGAAACCCTTTAAGGCATTATATAGGGCACCTCATTCCTCCATTCCCTACTTTCCGACAGAAAGGAGGACGACCTAACGAAGGGAAGCCCCTGCGCCCCAAGGTCCTAACCCCTAAACTCTAAACCCTAAAGACCTAAACCCTCAACCCCAAACCCCTAGCCCTGCAACCAGACGAGGTACCAAGGCGATCTCCTGTCGCAGATTGCCATCTCTCGCGCCCGAATGCCACGCGGCTGGCAGGGTTTTCGGGCTTAAGGTTCTGGGTCTTCGGGTTTAGGGTTTAGGGTTTAGGGTGGTTTAGGGTTTAGGGTTCAAGGTTTAGGGTTTAGGGTTTGAAAATTGTTGGGGCTTCTTATCTTAAGGATTTTTACTCTTTGGGGCGTCCTATCACAAGGATAATGCTCTGTTGGGTCCTATCATCAGGTTATACTTTTCTGAGATGTCCTACAATAATGGTTATGCTGGTTATGTTCTTTTGGGGGTTCCTATATTGTGCGGATAAAACTCTTTTGGCATGGGTTAAGTCTTGAAGGGCTTGTTGGTGTTGGGGATTGTAGGATTCGCGACTGAGGTCGAGATTATCACTCTGCCCCCTCATCCCTATACGGCAGTAAAAACCCTAAGGGTTCTAGGGGTTAAGAGTGGAGGGCTTATCCCTAATTGCGAAATGCCCATTCTGATGAAATTGGCCCTTTTACTGGTCCAATTGTTTGTATCACTTCCTGTCTTGGAATCGGGTAAGAAACCTTGAGCGGTTTGGCGGCGTTGGTTTTAGGATTTGGGTAGAACCCCGTAGTACAAACCTGTGCTAGTACAAACCTGTGGCAGGTTCCGTAATTCAGGGTTGTTCCCCTAGCAGGAGCCCAAGCAAGCCCCAAACTTTCCAAACCCTAAACCCTAAACCCCAAACCCTGAACCTTAAACCGGTTGTCGTTGGCGAGGGGGGAGGGCGGGCGGGGGGGTGTGGGGGGTTGTGGCAGCACCAGGCTGGAGAAGGTGAAGACCATTGCCGCAACCCGTCTGTTTCTGCATGGTCTGGGCTTGTGCAAACTGCCATTCCCCTGAACCTTAAGAAGCCCTAAACCCTGAACCCTAAACCCTAAACCCTAACCCAGGGGTTTGGGGTTTGGGGTTAGGGTCTGGGGCTTAAAGCCATGGTTTTTTCGGCGCTGTGGGGCTCTAGGGCTCCTGGCTTTGGTGCGCGAGGTTTAGGAAGTTGTGGGGGTTAGGGTTTAAAGGTTTTAGGGTTCAGGGTTTAGGGTTTAGGGTTTACGGTTTACGGTTTAGGGTTTAGGGTCTAGGGTTTAGGGTTCAGGGTTTCTTTCAGAGGGAGCCGAAAAGGGTACCGTTCGGGTTTGGGGTCGACGTTGAGGGCTTCGTTTAGGCTTCGAAGCTATTTCTCCCGCTGTTTTTTCGGCTTCCCCCAGAGTATCCACTCACAACTTCCCATTTCCGCTTTCCTGGAGCCTTCCCTGCAACCCAAAAAATGCATCTGCCATGTGCCGGAAAGGATCCTGTCCAGTTGTTGTGGGAGAAAAAGCCAACTCCGGACCTTCAGCCTTCCCTTGAAATCCCTAAACCCAAATCCCTAAACCCTAAACCCTAAACCCCAAACCCCAAACCCTAAACCCTAAACCCCAAACCCCAAACCCCAAACCCTAAACCCTATATCCTAAACCCCAAACCCTCCCCCTCCCCCCCCCCCCCCCCCCCCCCAAAAAAAAAAAAAAAAAAAAGCCCTCCCCCAATCTGGGAAGTGGAGCTGAGGACAAGCACTGCAAGGCGCCACAGCGTTAGGGGGGGGCTGTTTAGGGTTGCAGGGTTGCAGGGTTGCAGGGTTGCAGGGTTGCAGGGTTTAGGGTTTAGGGTTTAGGATTTAGGGTTTAGGGTTTAGGGTTTAGGGGTTTAGGGGTTTAGGGTTGCAAGGTTTAGGGTTTGGGGTTTAGGGTTTCTAGGGTTGCAGGTTTTCAGGGCTTCGTGCTCCGAAGTGAAGTCATGCCGTATAGCTGCTCTGATTTGAGGGTTGTTTTCGCATTTGGCTGGCCTCTCGGGGGGCTCTAGGATTTTATCCATCTATGGTTTAGGGTTGGGGTTTGGTATTTAGGGTTTAGGGTTTAGGATTTAGAGTGTAGGGTTGAGGTTTCAGGGGTGCAGCTAGACAGCTAGCAGCCTCTTGACTGGAGCGGCTGCCTGTGGTTGACCTTGCGAAGAAATGTTAAAAGTTCGATGGGCCCTAAGCCTAAACCCCAAACCCCTAAACCCTAAACCCTAAACCCAAACCCTAAACCCCTAAACCCTAAATCCGGGTTGCAGGAAGGTGTCGAGTTCCAAGTCCTTGTTGGCGATGCAGGCTCGGACAGCTGCCTGGACGGAGTTAGGGGTTTCGGATTTAGGGTTCGACCCGAAACCCTAAACCCTGAACCCTAAACCCGAAGTTCTAAACCATACACCTTAAGGAACAAAAGGCATACAGAAGTCGACACAGAAGTTCAGGCAGACGAAAATAAGCAATGACAAAGCAAGTACAGAGACACCGACTTCGGAAACATAAACGCAAACATAGAACTGAAGACAGCAAAGAAACTGTGTAATTACGACGGTTGCAACCACTACCATTCCGATTATTATTCTTACTCTCATTCTTACGACTGTCACCTGTGTTTCCGCTGCTGCAACTCACTTCTGTTATTGCGACCATGAGTACTACTACCATTACCCCCCTTGCTATTAATATGGTTTTGTCAACGGATCAATGAATGTCGTACGATTCAAAATGCAAAAGGTACCAGTCGGGACAGAATATCATGCGGCTAAATGTATGATCATGAAATGTCGTCTGACATCTTCAATAAGTTTTCCAGTGCATTCGTGCGGCTTCGGTGGGTCCATTTGTGCGCAGTCTATGTTCGCTACTGGGCTGGGTTATCGGGACGCGCTCGATAAGTTTATGTCCATGGCGATCTTCTGCTTTTTTCGGTACTGCAAAGGTGCCGGTCATGTTTCCTAAACCCTAAACCCTAAACCCTAGACCCTAAACCCTAAACCCCAAACCCCAAACCCTAAACCCTAAACCCTAAACCCTAAACCCTAAACCCTAAACCCTAAACCCTAAACCCTAAACCCTAATCTCAAGCTTGACACACGTAAATCCTGGACCTTAAGCCTGGTCAGCCCCAACCTTCTGGTGTCGCAAAGCCACTGCTCAAAGCGCCCACGCAGCCACAAAGATCCTATAGTTCATAAGCCCCACACCCCAAAAGCCCCTAAACCGGCCCCAACAAAAAAGCTTAAGTCCTCAACCCTAAACGCTAAAGCCTAAACCCTAAACCCTAAACCCCAACCCTAAAGCCTAAAC